CGGGTCGGCCGCGGGAGGCTCAGCGAGCTCCGGGCAGCGAGGCCGCAAGCGCCGCCGCCCCAGGGCCTCGCCTGCAGCGAGGCACCCCCCGGCCCGGCTCACGCAGAGCCGCGCAGAGGGACGCGGTCACAAGGTCACGGACACGATGACCTCCCCGACATGCGCACCCGGGAGCACGGAGGCAGCAGGTCGCAGTCAGTCACGCGTGGTTAGGCACCCACGCGCAGTCCTTCGCCCCCGCCCCGCATAAATCCACGCATATAATTAAAACAGCGTCTTTTCAGCATGCGTTTAGACGAGACAGCACAGAAAAACACGCGCCAGCAACTCCTACAAGAATCAAGACATCTCCCGTAACAACTGCACGTAGTTGCAGGCACTGAAGCACTCGCATGTGCAGCAAAACACGTCCTGCGAGTGCAGGAACAACTGCCTTGTCTGCGGTTCCCAGTACATGCGTAGCCTGCCTGCTCATTAAAACTCCCAGCAAAGTCAGCTGTCCTTGCTCATACACGGTCTGTGTAAGTGATGGAAATGCACAAAGCAAAATACACTTAACGTGCCATATTATATGAGAAAAAACCTTCCATTAAGAGGGTCATTTTCTTTCTCGGACAGTTAAGGCAGGATTTATTAGATTTAAATAGCAACAGAGAACGAAGGGGAATAAAGGCAAACCCATGTATTTAGCAGAGCAAGACTAACATTCCTTTAAAATAAGCTATTGTTCCATTGCTGTGATACTATTACTTGGTTTTAGAAGTCAGTAACTGACAAAGGCAAGCCAGGCTCCTCTGAATGCAAGATAAATTTAATTTTAGTATTTTACAATGCCCCAGTGATACCCAGATTACAGTCTGTAAGTCTGCAGCGCACGATCCACAGCTGGTTTCTGAAACCATTTTAAAAATAAGGACTTCTTGGCTTTTGTGTGGCTACGCCGATGACGCGCAAAGATACTTGTGTGTTGGCGGTGGGGGGTTAGATGTGGGACCATCGCCATGGCCGAGAAGAAGCTGTGTTTCCCAGGGGCCGTGGTTCTGGTCTGGACTCGGCAGAGGCAGAGCCCGGGGCAGGAAGGGACGGTAGCTCTACCAGCTGTTTTTAGACTCTGCTGTGAATATCCTGGTATTTCTCTTCTGTGCCCTGTGGCTAGCCGAGTTCAGGGTCCTGCTATAGCACACGGTCGAGTCAGACTGCCCCGTTTATGAACTGATCCGGTACCATCTTCAAGTGGTTCATATCGGCTTTGTTGCTACCGCTAAAATTTGAAGTCTGTCCCAGGCTCCAAACTGTCCCCATGCTCAGACTAAGTTTATTCACAGGCAGGTCATTTAGCTTGTTCCTGGGCCAGCACTGCTTAGAATTACAAATAGTTCCTTATCCTTGCCGATTGTTTGCACCTTCTCCATGTATATGTATGCACATGGATACGTGTTTACGCAGTGATATGTATGTATGTATGTATAAAGTGGAGTCAAATTCCTTCCCAAGCGAAATAAGTCACACTCTTGCCAACTCCTCCGGTATGACGTTTTTGGTTTCCTGCATCACCTTTGGCTTTTCCTGTACTTGCTGCCTTTTAAACGTGGAATACCAAAACTGCAGATAATACTCCACAGTTTGCTCTTTATTTCTGAAGTTTTTGCAGCTGTTAAAAAACAGCCAATTTCTGAAGTTTTGAACAAAATGCAAATAATGGTCAGGTGCACCAAAATTGCCAGGGGGATTCCATGAACCAGGCAGAATGGGGAAAAAATTATAACGGAAGGAATGTCTCAAAGATCAGTTTCGCTAGTCTTCAAATTTCAAGCACTGGTGTATTTTGAGGCTTGTTTTGAAAGTCTGTAGCTTCACAAGTACCATGCCAGGATAGATGTCTGTAACAATTTATTTAACTTCTAATTTGCAAGTGGGGATCTTAGGCACATGAACGTGTTGCTTATTTTCCAGGCCGTGTATTGCAGGCAAGTCTTATCTGTGTCTCTATTTTTCTCTTTTTTTCCCCCGCAAGCTTTTTTCATCGTTGAAGAAGAAATACGTAATTATCAGTGTTTTTATTAGATGGCTCTGGTGAAATGTCTACAGTAAATTGCACTTTCCAAACAATTAATGCTACTTAGGTGCATGCTTTCTGTATGTAAGAAATCTAAACAGTTTTGATAACTGGAAAAAATCAGCTCACTATAAATAGGAATGTGCCACCCTAAATGTAATGTTTGTGAAAAACTGGGAAAGTCGATCGATACTTTAAATGTCTCATAAAATAGGTTTAAAATTAAGGTGCTGTTTTCACTTTGAAGCATGGCTGAATCAGTAGAACTTGAGCTTAAAAGACAGTGAAGACACTTTTTTTTTTTTAAGGTTACTGAAATAATATTAGTGCTTAATCCATAGAAGACCAAGTAACTAGCTGGATTACTTCCACAAAATGACATTTGGAAAACTGAGGAAAATACACAACTTGGGGTCAGTGCTATGAGAAGCAAGTTGCACGCAAGCTATGGAAGAGTTTTCAACCCTGGGATAAGCCATACTTTCAAGTATAGTAATGGTTACTTCGGCACATTTTAATGCCAAGGTGAAGATATTGCATGGCAGTCTTACTCTGTACGGTCAAGACTTTGAAATTCCAAAACCTTACAAAACATAGAAGAGTCAGACTGTAGATGTTGGGATGGCTGCTGACGGACGTTGCACAAATCGCCACTTCATTCACTATGTGATTAGGGAGCTTCTGAATTAACGTGGCTTAAATGAAACACTTTCCAAAGGAGAGTATCAGAACCAGGAAGAAAGTCCTAGTGTTAGATACTTCATGAAAAAAATCTGGACTGAAACTGTTAGAAGTGTGACACACCTTTTTATTTGACAGCAAATTCTCCCTCTGGACCATTGGCTAATTTCTCTGTACACAAAAAAGCTGTGTAAGAGTAGATACTCTTGTGAGGAGAAATGAACTAGAAGTATCAGATTCTTTAAAGGAGTTCAGGCTCAAGTTTTAAAATACTGAAGAGTTGATGTTATCTTCATAAATTTTGTTCCTTTGTCAGGTTTTCTCTCTGCGTTAAAGCCCTCTGTTACTGTAAAATTACTGCCGATTGCTCATTCTGTATAGTAACACCATGCATCTTTTTGAAAGTAGTTTTAAGGACGAGGGTTTACTGAACTGGAGTCAGGTCTTTCCAATGTAACTAGAAGAATCTGACTGATGGGGGTAACTTGTTTTTTCTTCTTCCCTGCTTCCTCAGAATGACTGCCTTTTGCGTGATGAAGCTTTTATGTCAAGCAACCAGAAATGAGAATAGATATGCAAAAAGATTCTTTGGCACTCTTCTGACACAAACCCCACAAAAGAGGGTCTTTTCTCCATTCTGGATGGTGGTACCTGACCCTAGAAAGTCAGCTGCTTTTGGACTTACTCAACCATTGTGTACAGCTGAAAAATCTCACACGGAACCAAAAAGGAAAGCGGCATTTGGAAGTGTTGGGCGAAGAATTCCGTATCGGATTTTGCATGTAATCAACCAGGATGGAGAGAGCTTAGGAAATATGCACCGAGCAGAGGCACTCAAACTTATGGATCAACATGACCTGAAACTAGTTCTCCTTCGTGAGAATGCAGAACCTCCTGTATACAGACTAATGACCGGGCAGCAGATTCATGAAGAACAGCTTAAACGTGCAGAGAAGAAAAAAGCAAATCCAAAAGCAGGTATGTACATCGTTGACACTACGACACTGAGCACTTTGAAAAATGCTGCATTAAAAGTGGTTTCAGCAGATTAAACCCTCTTACTTGCATTTGTGTAAATCCAAAGCAACATCACTGCAGTCCACCCTATTAAGGGTTTGCAGTGGTGAAAATAAAATTTTGGATTAGTCTAGTCTTCCACAGAGAAGCCTTCTATTGCCTTCGCAGGATTTACTATTTTGGCATCTGCTGGCTTTTTTTTTTTTTA